AAGTGGTGCTGTGGCTCAAGTGGTAGAGCACTAGCCTTGAGCTGAAGAGCTGAGGGACAGCGCCCAGGCCCAGAGTTCAGGCCCCACGACTGGACCCCTCCCCCCCCTAAAAAAAAGTAAATAAAAAAAAAATCATAGATTTGCCAGATGCCAGTGGCTCATGCCTATAATCCTAGCTACTAAGGCTGCTGAGATCTGAGAATTATGGTTGGAAACCAGTCCAGGCAGAAAAGTTCCTGTGAGACTCTTATCTCCAATTAACCACTCAAAAACCAGAAGTGGTTCTGTGATTCAAAGTGGTAGAGTAGGGGCTGGGAAGGTGGCTCAGTGGTAGAGCGCTTGCCTTGCATGCCTGAGGCCCTAGGTTCGATTCCTCAGCACCACATAAGCAAAAAGAAAAAAGCCAGAAGTGGTGCTGTGGCTCAAGTGGTAGAGCACTAGCCTTGAGCTGAAGAGCTGAGGGGACAGTGCCCAGGCCCAGAGTTCAGGCCCACGACTGGACCCAAAAAACAAACAAAAAAAAAGTGGTAGAGTGCTAGCCTGGAGCACAAAATGGCTCTGGGACAGTGCCCAGGCCCTGAAGTCAAGCCTCACAGCTGACCAAAAAAAAAAAAAAAACGGGCTGGGAAGGTGGCTCAGTGGTAGCGCGCTTGCCTTGCTAGCCTTGAACTGAAGAGCTGAGGGACAGCGCCCAGGTCCAGAGTTCAGGCCCCATGACTGACAAAATAAATTAATTGTTTTACTTTGAGATAGGTCAACAAATTAATGCAGACACTCATGCCAATTAACCAGGTAGAGCCTGGATAAAGTATTAGTTTAAAAAAAACACACAACAACCACAAAAACACAAACCAGTGTAATAGAGGGCATCTGCTTGTCTGTATAAAAGGATGAGGTCTCCTTCTGTCTTGGTAATTTCTTGGCAGTTTGCTTATGAGACACATCATATTCTAGTTTAGTGCTTAGTGGTAGAAGTTGGCCAATGCCTCATGACTGTAATACTAGCTTTTCAGGAGGCTGAGGTCTAAAGGATTGCCACTCAAGAACAGAGAAGTCTAGACTCCATCTCCAATTAGCTAGCAAATAGCCAGGCTAGGTGGAGTGCTAGGGTGTCAGCCTAGCAAGCATGAAGCCCTGAGTTCAAACCCCAGTACCACCAAAAAGAAAAAACCAAGAAAGGAAAAAGTTACTAACTTTCTTGAAAAAAGATTTCTGGAGTGAAATGCTCTTTTATCTGTTTGTATGTCTGGGTGCTGTCCCTGAGGGTTTTTTGTTTTTTCCCCTCAAGGCTAGCACTCTACCACTTGAGCTACAACGCCACTTCTAGCTTTTTTGGTGGTTAACTGGAGATAAGAGCCTTTCCAGCCTCTGCTGGCTTCAAACTATAATCCTTAGATCTCAGCCTCCTGCTTTGCCAGCATTACAGGCATGAGCCACTGCTGCCTGGCAGCTTTTAGTTTTTAGCAGTTCTCTGACTTGAACCTGCTCCAGGATGGAGAGTCCTTCCCTCACGATTCAAGCTGTTTAATGGTTCTCTTTTCCACACTTAGCCTTTTCTTCCTTCACCTGCCCATGTTTGAGAATCAGCTACTCTGGGTTGACCTCCCTCACCTACTGGCCTGAGCCAGCACGCAATTTGTTGTCCCTTAGGTCTGGTCCCTTTAAGAGCACCCCCCAGCTCCTCCCTCTTCTTGCCGGATTTCCTCATTTATGTCCAGCCCATTAAAGCCATCGCTCCACCTTTCTTGCCGGATGTATTTTGAGACTGCAGGCACTGAGGGGCTTGGGGGTGGAGGGTGGGGGGCGGGGGGGATCTGGGAGTAAGCGGAAGTGGGTGGGATAGGTGCTTGTGGACCTGGACTCCATTACCTAGGGCTTCAGAGGTCCACCAAGCTGGGACAGGGAGGATCCTGGGAGAAAACAAAGCCAAAGATGTCATTCTTTAAGTAACTATGGTTCAGTGTCAGGCCAGTGCCCCACACTCTCTACCTTCTGCGGGAACTAATTATTCTTCCCTATTGTAGGATCAGGAAGTAAGCTCAGCACCAGGAACCCAGGACCACTCAGCTAACAAGCAGCAGAGGCAGGGTCTGAACTCAGGTCAGCCTCAGTGTCCTCCACACTATCCCTTGCCCAGCAGGATCCTGGCTTCCCTGTAACTTCTTTTCCCTTGGTTTTTCGGTGGTAGTGGGGGCAGGGGGCATCTCCGCAGGGCCCCACGGGTTCCTTTCTCCTCCCAGGACTGTGTGGAGATGTTGCTGTGGCTGCTGCTGCTTCTCATGCTGCTGCTGCTGCCCACATTCACCTTGCTTAGGCAGCAGATATCCCTGGAGGCCAGGCTGCTCTGGCTTGCCAACCTTCGGCACCGTGTGGCATGGAGGGTCCTGTGCTGGGCAGCTGCGTGGCAGCAGCGGAGACTAGAACAGACCACACTGTGTGTGGAGGAGAGTCAGCAGCAAGCCCTGACCTGGTGTCTACAGAGAGCCTGGGGACCCCGCTGTTCCTCCAAGGGGAG